GCGGAGAGAATAGGCGCTGCACTTTTGTGTTCCGACCAAGGTAGCGAGTCTGCTTCTCAACTGTATCTACTCACAACCTTGACTTGAAATGTTGTTATTTGTGGTCTGGGTTTTGTGGTTTGTTTCCAGCATGTTTTGACTCTGTGTCAACACATCTGCCATAGTCAAACATCAAACCACGTTCTCTTTTCTCTTCCCATTTCTGTATCGCTGCCAAACATTTTTTGAAAGTATCTAATTAAGTCAACTAAGAGAACTGTCAGTACAGATCCCCTCTCTTCCCATCAGCTTAGCCACACGAGTAACTCCTTGTATGTTTCTTGGAGAAAATAAAAGATGTAACCCCAGTGTGGTGCCCGAAGACCACTGACCGGAGATGTCTGGAATGCAAAATTCACTCAGTTGGTTTACACATAAAAGGCACGGATAATTAGAGGAAAAATGTAATAAATCATACGTTTGATAATCAGTCTGATTTGGTCTCCTATCTGCACAAGGGCATTCAAATAACCCCCCTACTATTAGCACCCCACTCTCCCTCACACCAGCAGTCTGTTTTACCCTCTCTTTGTTCCCCTACAACACATTATCATTATTGTAGCTAATTGCATGGTCTGCCTTGAAGTCGTGCTGGAGACTCGTGATCTGGGGTTGAAACATGCACGAGGATCCAGTCTTCTCCACAGCTTGCATTACTCTGCTAATTGCCGTTACCACAGGATAAGGCGAGCTCCTCGCTGCGGCCAGCCGGACAAGGCTGGAACAAGCATGGGGTGGGCTGGGTGGAGGGATACTATCACACAAGGGTGGTAAGATGTGGGAGGGAGAGCAAAGAGTGGCGTAACTGACGTGGGATGGGTAGAGCAGATTGGGGAGGGAAAGATAGCAGCTGGGGGTAAGCAGGAGGGGATGGAACCGGCGTTAGATGTAGGTCAGCGGGAGTGGAGTACCCAGAAGATTACAGTTGGTTAGTGTGACCCCTCTCTGACAAGATCTGAGCCTTTGCTCCCAGCAGAGGTGGACCCTGGCATTTGGGGAACCCGACTATTAGTGAGGCTAATAAAGCCCGAGCAGAATGTGTTGAACCTGCAGTGGCCCAGAGACACTGTCCTGCCACAGGTCCAGCCATGTAGCTTGGTTAATATTGTCCATACTGATTGAAGAAAGCCTTTAGAAGATTTGAATACTTTGTTTGATCAGTGATGCGGGGTAAAATGTGCCTAAAAGGGCAGCTGGTGCCACATTGCAACCCCCCATGCACATTTTCTCTTTTAAGAACACAGCTTTTTTCATTAACAGTGTTTATTAAAGAAGAGCAAATTGAAATGTGAGTTAATCTAACTCTGAACATTTTAAAATTTGTGTGAGCTGGTATTTCAATTCAGATGGGAATGTTAGTTTTACACCACAGTATCAACTTCCAACTTCAACATGAGTCACAGCTCCCCAGTGGGGTTTTAGAAAAGGAAATGGAATCACAGACATAACTAGTGACAAAGCCTCCATCACCTCATGCAAGATCTCATTCCATCTGTGAGAACTTTGGGTCTACCCCAGAAAAATAATAAATATCCTTCTCTCATGGCAGCAGCTCGATTTGTTCAAAAGGTGTTTTCAAGACTAAACAAAGGAAATGGTGTCATTAATGATATGTATTATGAACCGGGGCCTCTTTGAGCAGTTTCCTATAAATGCAGGGATAAGGGGTTGATCTCTTTCCTAACAAAGGATCTCTAAAATATGAAGTGAAAAGCTACCCAAGATGAAGCTGGTGAAGAAACAAGCGAGGAAGAGCCTATTTCCACAACACAAACAGATTTCCTGGCCTTTAGCAGTCTCTTACTGGGATACTTTGAGACATATCCATCAAAACACAGCTGTATTCATTCATATTTCATACCTCCTCCCTCTCCCAGTGCTTTAACACTGTTCTTTGATCAAAGGAGAGAAGTCGGATCACAACAGGAAGGTTCCCTGCCAGCCAAGTAGAAGAAGGAAGGCCAATATACTGTTGTACATGCTATAAAATAGTACTTAAAAGGAAAATAATTAAATTAAATAATTTGATGGCTTTCCACTGCAAAACAAAGAATGCACGATAAATTGATGAGTTTCTACAGATGAAATATGAATTATCACTTTTTTACAGTCAACTTACTTCCAGACGATGTAAAGTTCTGCCACAAAATTGTACAAAACCATATATTATTAACGTAAATTCTGCCCGTCAAAATGCAAAAGAATTAGCTGTTTTTGTAGGCTTCAATAAGATTGAGAGAAGCCTTTGTTAGATGCAAGGGAAAAACACTTTTAGCAACTTAAGTGATGGAATTGCTGAGAAATTCGACAGCCAGAGGATTCAAAAACACAAAGCTCAAGAGTGTCACCATGTGGAGATGAGAGGACACAGCAACATAGTAAATGAGGATCTGCGCGCAAGAAGAAACATAAAACTCTAGAAGAGGGGTAATATTTTCATCTCTCTGACCCCCTTGTCTTTTTGTATATAATTTCTTACCAGTTAAACTTCATGTCAAATGTGCTGTGTTAAGTCTCCAGCCTCGCTCTTTACCACCGGTCCACCATATCAATTTCAAGACACTGCTCTGCCAAAGACCCCTTTTAGTAAGGCTCAGGGAGAAAAAAAACTGTTTGAAGACCTCCCTGACATTTAGACTCTCTCTGAAGATGACTTTGCCTTCTACTACTGCCTGCGGGAACATAGTAAGACCCACACTATACTTCAATTGATATGCAGTGCCAGATTCCTCTAGGGGAAATTATCATTCCGTTCATAATAAGAGCCACAACAAGCACCTGCAAAAATGACTTTATTATACCATAGGCCTCAGTGAATTTTTTCTGACCCACTGGAAACGCACACGGTGCAAGGAATGTAACAGTGATGAAATGAAAACTATATTATGCATGTGATAGAATACTTATTTTTGATGGTTGGTTTTTTGGGAGGATGCGGGTGTTCTTGATTGGCAGGAGGGGTAATGCGGTGCTGTAGCCTTGGATGGAGGTGCTCTGAGACCTCTTTTTCCTGAAGCCATTATCCAAATATGTTCTGTTTTTCAAGCAAATGAATGGCACAAAAATCAAAGTATCAAAAATGCATTGGCCCTCATAATGGAATTCCCTCTGAGCAAGGACATGTAACAATGGGCCATTCTCAGCTTCCTGTCCTTTCCCTCTCTTTGCCAATGGACATGACCTCCACAGCTTTAACAATGGGGCACCCACCAGCATAAGGACTTGGCTTCTCTCCATAGCCACTACACGTATGCTGTGAGGTTGCTTTCATCTGTGTTGTTATATTTAAGGATGACATCCTAGCCTGACGGCCTCTGCTATTGTCTTCCCCGTGATTATTTTCTATCCGTTGTTTAGCCCCTGTTGTGGCTCTTTGATGAAAAGGTCGCCACTCAATTGGAAAACAGTCATTAAAATGCGGTGGGTACTATTCACCAGTGTGCATAGGGGAACCAACTCAACTGAGCTGGTTAATCAAAAGTTAATTATATAATTTTCATGCAGATGAGGGGAACATTCAAATGAATCCCAACTCTGCAATCATTACAAAAAAATAAATAAAGAAATAACTCTAAAAGGCTATAAAATGTTCAGGGACCAAGAGGCTGTAAACAATATGAAGTTTAATTTGAGGTAAACAAAGTGAATATCCACCAGGGGGTCTGGGAAGGAGAAAGTGAGGTTAAATCAAATTTGGAAACATAGATACCAGCAGGTTTTGTTGTCCTGATATACGTGCAATTAGGCAGGTCCTTGATGAGGACACTGGGAGGGAGAAAGTTGGTTTCAACAGCAACTGCTTTGGGATTATTTAAAGGGAATTTATTGGATTTCATGCTTTATCTGTAAACATTAATTATTCTTGCAAAAGTATACTCAATTGAATTAGAGCCATATTTCATAAAGTGATGTATAATTATTATTATTTTTTACGAGGGTGTTATAAAATTATTGAGCGCGCCATGATAATAAGCGTAAACTCACTGTGACTTTCAGAAGAAAAAGCCCTAGACAACAATATCATCTCTAACTTTGTCTGAGAAGGTAAAGTAGAAAATAGCACTTTAAAAAATTGCCAAGTCTTTCCTCATCAAAGGAAATGATTGTGTTATGCAAATTACAAACATGAATATTAAACCAACGAGGTGAAGTATCACAAATGAACAAGCATTGTTCTGGAGGTGCAATGGAATGTGGTTTAATTTCTCTGTAATTCTATGTGCTTTTTTAATGTTCACCTTTTCCCAGTTGGACCAGCGGGTTTGGGTTCATTGGTGTGCATTACAACCATTCTGTAACAATGCAGGCCTCCCCGGTGTCAGCACAGTTCATGAATCCTAGCCCCTTATGCACCAGGCGATTAGTATGGTGCTCCATCTGTGGGGCTTTGCCAGAAAATGAGTTCTCTTTAAAACATATGCCCCCTGCTGATTCTTTTCCTTTCCTGATATGAAATTCCAATTTTTATAATGAACACCAATTTCCTGGACAAAGAGGTGGAAAAATTAAAGTTGTGCACTTCGTCTTGTTTTGGATGACTTGAGTTACTTGAAATGAAGAAAATACCGGGATGGGCGTCGCGAGGAGAAATATTTTTATGCTTAGTGTGGATGTGGTTTGTGGAGCTAACCAACAGTGAGTTAAATCAGCACAGAAATCCGCCTGTGTCGTTCGCATTGCAAATGCACATGACTGGCATGGCAGAAAATAGAATTACCAGAAGTGTAACAAATTCAATTAAGTCATTGATTTCTAATAAATTGGCTTAATCACCAGCTGTTGTCATGCTAAGATTGTTGTGTCACAAGTTTGTCATGCTTGTCGGTCGTGGCTGCTGTACAAAGGCAATTGAGTCCTTTTAAAAGCTGTAAAAGAGGATTTTAGCATAATTTCATCTGCGATTGCAAACCCTACATATTTCACAAATTTGATTAAATAGAAACATTAACAGGAGCTCAGGGTTCAAACGTTTATTCAAATTCAAAGATTAAAGATATTTAATTGTTATTTATGCAGTAAACGGTGAAGTATCAAGTCATCTTCAGTGAACCGTCTCTGGTGTTGACAACAACTCCGTCATTGTTTGTCTTCTGCTTTTTTCCTTTCTCCTCATTCATTCAAGGACCTTTTTTTTTCTTTCGAAGCGGCTGGAATCATCGTTAATCTGAAGAGATAGAAGTTAATAATCAAATGAACAAATATTTAAATATCAATCTTTTTATGCTTCATGTTAATTTTTTTTTTTAAATGTGCAAGAAAACTGCATTATAGCTGCCTAAAAGATAGCATTAATCAAGCATGTATTGAACGATGCAACAATTATAAAATTACAGCCAGTCACTGCAGTCGCTGCAGTGGTCCGGGGTGCATTAAGACGTTACAACTGAAGTAAGCATTGCTGATAAATTTTGTACAATAAACACCTACTCCTCTGTATGGCCTAAGCCTCTCTTGGATTTGGGCACTTGCCTCTTCAGGAAGAGTCACCACTCCTCCCGTGCCCATCATCTGAGTACAACAAAACTGAAGTTATAAGATGAAACTTGGACTTCAATTTAAAATTTTACGCCTCTGGCAAAGGCAAAAAATGCCAGAGTTAAGTTTGATGGAGCAATTTCATGAATCACTTTCTGTTTAAATTTGCCTTTAATTCAATAAAGTTTACGTACTTCCTGAGACTGTAACCGCACATAAAATAATCACTCACCCTGATGGTTGCCTCCAGCTCTCCCACACTTCTCTTTCCACCTGGTAGCCATCCATAAGACCAGTGCTGGCAGAGACTGACCTGAACCACCAACGCCAACAACAACACCTGCACCATAACTCTGCTGCCCGCCTCCATTACAACTGCAGGGGGAAGCTAAATATGTAATAAAACAATAATGTCACAGGCTCCTCGCTTACCGCTCCACAGCCAACAGATCAGAGGTTACACAGCACAGTATCGCCCAATGCTAATAAACATTTTAAACAGTAATTGATACAGCAAGAAGGGTAATTCTAACTTAATGAACACTGAATCCATTTAAGTGAATACCAACCCACCTCTGTATTAGTCGTGTTAGCATATGGTACATTAGCCAGGGAGGGATTTTATAGATGTCGTACACGGCAACCAGGATTATAATCCCCTCTTTGCAGGTGTGACACATTTACTGACTAATGGGTCACAAAATACCATTAATGGAGTTGGCTAAGTGCTTAGATATGCTCACGTCACCAGAAGGGCTCATGCAACATTTAATATATTTAATAAAACATCTTTGTTATATGCTTAATGTATAGTAAAAAAAAAGGACAATGTGTGGATATAATCCATCTACATTTTATTTTATTTTGCTTTTAGCAAACAAATAGATATTGACATCTGCACGGATACAAAAGGCAGAAAAATCATTGAAATAATATTTTTGTGCATTTGTTACATTAACTGGAAGGCCTTATGACATTACCCTAATTGTTATTCCTTCAGCAAAATAATATATTTGTTAGTAATGCAGTTAGTAATGATAAATGAACATAGTGGATATCTATGTACACTAAATAACAATATGATCAGTGTGTATTAACTAATCTTACAAAGGTAATGGAGGTAGAAACACAGTCAAAAGTTATTCACTCAAACTTCAAACCTCTGCAATTCATGTTTTGGATGAGCAGAAGTCTTGAAAAAATCTTCTCTTTTTCTTTTTGCTATGACACTAAGGTAAATAATGAATTATTTGTGTAGCTTGCATGGATGATCAATCTGTGTGAGCATGTGTAATTATTGGCGAAGCAATGGATATTGAAAAACGTGCTTTTTAATGTCCCTGACATGCTCCATTTTTGTTCCTGCGAATGGAGATAGTTCAGCAGCATCATTTTCAATTATGTCATCCAAGCATAAATATTTTCACGCTTGATTTCTAACACACTCATTTGCAATAAATGAAATTAGGGTAAATTTTGTATACATGAATTCTTAAAAAATGTTTGTACAAGCAGTTAATTAATGATCTCTGTCACCAACATTTGAAAAGAATTTGCTTTTAAAAATGAATTTGTCACATTTAAGTCAAACATACAGTAAACATGAGGTTCGTAGTTAATATTATGTCACTTTGTGACAAGTTTTTCATGATTAGAACTATGTCTAATCAATATGGCACTACTTTCTTCAAACATTTAAGTGTAAAGTTGGCATGTTAAAGTGTACAAAAATGATTCCTTAAAGCAGTTAATGTAATAACATTTAATTCTCTGCCTCTTTCAATGTGGGGTGATTTCATTTTGCCACACAATAAATGAAAAGTCAAATAAAATTGAATAAGGTTGAATAAAATTCCAAGAGGCAGCAGTTAAGTTATTCCAAGACAGTATTGAGGTAATTTACACAAATGAGAGTGTATGAAATTTTATGTCTCTGGTGGAGCTAAACGTACATCTTTATATGTACAAGACAAATAAGATATTATTCAATTTACAAGTCTTGAGAATGTTATCCTATTTATCAAACACAATTCATTTTCTCCACAGCAATCTAACATAGGCAATATTAAATACAAGACTAATTCAAATCAAAAGGCATAGTTTTAAAAATAAAGCAGAAAATAAATGTATCTCTGTGCAATAAATAGAAGAAGGTTAGCAATTAAAAATAATATATTGCTAAATTCTACCAATAAAACAAATGAGTAACCACTTTCATTTCTTGTAATTTCCATTTGGGTACTTTCTAATCAAACATTCATGAAAAAGACAAGCGCCCTGGTGTCACAGATGTTCAGTTCAGATACAGTATATTACAATTTTTCTAAGATCGGTTATTGAGTGCAAAATGTAAAAAGCCTTAAAAAACAACATTCAGCAAAAAACTGCATATGTGACTTTGACAAATTCTTACAGAAAAAATGGTTTAATATGGATTACAGTGTTATTTAAAATTGGCGTAGTCTGAGAAAATGTCAATAAAATCCTGGACTACCCTGTAGCAGAAGTCATATTGTTCCTGCAAAGAGAGACAAGAAGGATAAGTGTCCAAATGCGAACAAGAGGACAACAATGTAAGGAAACAAAACTGTGAACCTGATGACAAGATTCTGCTCTGCAGGTTTGCCATGATTGTGATTTGAACTTACCACTGTCTGAACCATGTGTGGCCTCTGCATACGTAAACTCTTGACAGTCTGAAAAACATCCAGGAGCCCTTCGGCTTTCACTCTCTCCAAAATGTTGCTGAGCGCAACAAAGGTGCCCGTCCGTCCTGCACCAGCACTGAGGACATTAAACACAGAAAGATTACGGTGTGATTACTGGTGGGTATTTTCACTCTGAGAAAATAGGTATGTATGAATGAATTAGGATAGTGTTTTTATTTCTGTGTCTTTCTATATATTTACATTCGATGCTGAAAATGCGTTGCAACTCTTATAATCTCGTAATCTCTGCACATCTGTTTTCTATTTAACTTGTAAAGTTTGCAAGAGAAAAGGTGACCTTTCTGTAATGGTGCTAGTAATTATCCTCTCTTAAAGAGAGGCTAATCCAAACGCTAACACTAATCAGTTTGGAAGCTCAGTGTTTGACTGAGTCAATGTTTACAATGATGGTGGGATGGAGAGAGAGAGAGAAACAGCAAGCGAGTGGAAGAGTGATGCGCGATTCGGAAGAGAAAAGTGTAGAGAGACGTTGGGGATTGCATCGGGTTAGCCCCGTTCCCCTGGGGATGAAAAAAAAGCTTTAAAAAGCCCCTCTTAGACAAGTGGTGATGAAGGAATAGAAGAGAGTGATGACACCATTTCCTGTCGTTAGCTCATCTTATCAGATTAATCATAGTGGGAGTCAGAGGAGATTTCTCTTTGAGAGGTTTTAATTGACTGTGAATCAGTGGATTGGATCAATCCCATCGGGGTATGCTGCTTTAGAATCACTTCACCTGAAGCTAGGTTCTGATCAAAGCTTTCACAGCTAAGTCTTTATAAGGGATCACATAAGTGGTTTCAGCTTAGAACACCAGGTCTTCTGAGGAAAAATGTACAGTTTATTGTAACAGACGTTTGTAAGAATAAAAAAAATATATCCATAATTATCCATAAAATTGAAATTCCTCAAAGATTCATCTAATAGGTTAATAAAAACTGAGCATAACAGGGAGAAGGAGGCACGGGTGGAATGATTTTCAAAGTAGTCTAGTTTAGACGTCGTTTTCATCTGATATGCGGCAGAATTGTCAAACTGAAGTTCCTCACCTGCAGTGTACAATTATGGGACGGTTTCCAGACTGCTGCTGTTGCCTCTGCACGGCGGCAATAATGTCAATCATCCCCCTTCCCTCAGCTGGTATTCCAATCTCAGGCCATCCATGGAAGTGGAAGTGGCGGACATGTTGTGACTGCTTTTCCTGGTGAGATGGGAAATTGCAATGTTATTTTCACTCACATTAAAGCAGCAGACGTGATGAAAATGTCTTAACTTTAAATTGGTTCATGTTGAGAAAGACACCTAAAAAAAAAAAAAAAAAAAGCGTGGAAAGTGTCACTTTAGAATGTCTACTCTTCTACTATATTTCAATTTAATTAAATATGAAATTACATACTGGCTTGTAGGTGAGAATCATGTCTCGGCGAGTGAATGTTTCACAATGTGAATCTCCAGTGAGCTCCACGGTGTAATCTCCAAATGTTACAGTGCCCTCTGATGGCCAATACTGGAAACACTTTTCCTGTTTGAAAGGCCAAATGGAAATACATTTAGGCTACATTTGACTAATTTATAAACTTTTATACATATATACATATACTTTTTTTTTTGCACACCAAAGTAAGCAATTCAAACCAAAGAAGACAGATGCACAGTGAAACAGCTATGGAAATATTAGCACACTAGAAAAAAAAACATTTAAATGATTATTTCATTGCTTAACTTTGTTTCATAACCCCCTCTCATACAAGAGCACCAAACCATACCTGCTCCCTCTCTTTGAGTTCGGTGAGCATAACAACTGAATGACACCTCCACTCCCACACCATCCTCCAGAAGTCCTCCACCGTGTGAGACAAGGGGCCCTGGGTTGCGATAAAATAGTCCTTCTGCCTGTAGCCCTGGAGGGCAGATCATCCAGTAAACAAGACTTTAGAGAGTGGCAAACATAATATTTTGCAATGTTTGTAAAGGAAACAATGAGCTTTATTTATACTTCTATGGAAAATCTATATAGAAGGTCGTGAGGGAGTGCTTACATCAATAAAGGAGGCATTGATGTAGTCAGTGAACTCCTGTCCTCTTTTCACAGAGAGAATAACGCGGTTGAAATCATCTGCAAAAAGAGAAATGGAAAATAAACTTTCCGCAAGTTGTTCCTCATAAAATAAAAGTTTAAAAGAGTCAAATGCAAAATGAAAAAAGCTGGCGATTAAAGTGCGTGCATAGTTACTGAAGCCAGATACAACACAATCTATATCACATTTCAGCGTAATAGTTGTACCCACTGTGTCTCTCCCCATACCTCTCACAACTTGAAATAAAAATGAATTCCCTTTTTAAATGTCACTGATCACACGGACATGAACTGATTAGACATAAAACTGTGTACGGCATCTATAAAATCACCAGCAGAGCGATTCTTTGATGTTACTCGGATGTGATGTATTATGAAGCTGTTCTGAGTATCAGAGTAGTCCTTACACGGAATGATCTGAAGCACTCGGTTCTTTTTCATGTTGGCAGGAAGGTTACCGGTTCTCATGTTCTCCTTCATTATGCGGACGTTGGTCAGCTTCTGATGAGAGAGAGCGGTAAAACAATCAATATGTTTGTTTGTACCCTTAACCAGGAGAAACATGGAGGCCGGAAAAACACAGTTTTGCAGGAGAAACATGGAGAACTGTAAAGTAAAAATGGTCCGTTTTCAAGGTGAGGGAAATCTAAGTGGCAGATGGTGATGCCTTAAAAAGTTCTAATTGATCCAGAGAATTGTTATGTATGCAACTACAGCCAAGAGCAGCACCCAAGGCAGGATTTCCATGATAACAGCGCATAATTCAGGATGATAGGGACAAATTATTGTTTACTAAAATGTTTAAGGGCGAGCTTCTTCCCTCCGTACCCTGAATTCCTCCTCCAGGCCCAGCCTGTCGTGGGGAGCCCTGGTGTTGTGAAGCCTCTGCAGATGGCCCTCCAGAGAGCACACATCCAGCTCTGTGTCTCCATACAGATAATACTCCAGCAGAGCCTGATAGATGAAGGAGTACTGCATCTGAGGAGGAAGAGAGAGGATGAGAAGGACTGGAACGAAATAGAAAGAGTTGCTTTAGTTTGCCAAACTATTTCCTTCAATTCTTTGCATCACAGACACGTTTTTCCAAGTTCTTGCTTGTTTATGTTGCGAGTTGAGCAGTGAGTTGAGCTGTCAGTTCAAGGTACAACAGGTCGGAAGGGTCAATTCTTACATCTGTCTGGATAAGTTGACAGCGCTGCTCTCGTATTCTGCTCACAAAGCCAAAGACATCCACTCTCTGCTCCATGTGCATCATGTCGATCATGCTGTCAATGACAATGAATGTCCCAGTCCTACCGACTCCGGCACTGTGGAAACATCAACAGAAAAGCCTGCTCTGTTACAAACAGCCAAATGTTGTTAGGAAACAAAACACAACCAGAGGAAAGCAGTGAAGCGCACACTCAAACAAATGTCTTCACACGGAAAGTACCGAAGCTTTTACAGTAACGCCGGGGCCCTATATGGAACATTGTTCACGCCCCTATCCTAAAGATTAGGCCTATTTGAATGACACGCTTTTTCAATTTTATGCATTTTTACTGCATTACAGCTTTTATCTATGCTTACAACAAAGGACTCAGTTGTGAACAGCTTATGTAAAAGTGCTTCCCTCCTTAAGCCCAAAACATACCCCTAATAAATTTACAGGGGTCATTTCAGCAGTCTGCCCCCCCCGGGAGCACAGAGCGTGGATTCCACAGTGGGTAGTTGAGCTTCATCTGCGGGCCCCCTCCATAAACAACAGTCCTTCTCCCTGAGCACCTGTTGCAGCAGTTGCTATAGTCAGCTTCGGATTTCTTTGCTGAGGCACGATTCTCATTAACCAAGTGTACAGGCATATCGATTCAGCCTATCCTAAAGCTTCATTTACATTAATGTCTTCTTTTTATAATGGTTCTCCAAAGTACTGTCTCATCCTTATTAACGATTCGAACATATTTATTAGGGGCTCTTTTATCCCTGCTCTCTACCTGCTGCACATTTTACCTGCAGTGAACAACAATCGGCCCAGCATAGGATGGATTGACAGCCTTGACCTTCTTGAGGAACTTCAGCATGCCGATGGGCGTGAATGGCACCCCGAAGTCTGGCCAGCTGGTGAAGTGAAGCTGGGTGACTAGCCGAGGGGCTCGAGGTCCATCGCTGCCTTGCTGCGAGGTTTGCAAGGTTTACAGCATAGCATGAATAATACAACAAAACAAAAAAAATCAAAAATTAAAGCTACGCACCTACAAAAAGGAACTTAAAGTTATTGGATTTTTTTTTTGTTTTAAGTGACTCTGCTTTTCGGGACAGAGTGTAATTATCAAACACTGGCTTGCTGTTTCCTTGCTCTCAAGAGGGGATAATTTCACTCTCTTGAACACTCGGTTGCTCTGTGTTCAGAGGGCTACATGTAAAAGCAGCCAGTCTGTCAGTTTGAACAGAGAAGCTACAGTGCAGTCACAGTTTTTCAGTCAGGGAGGATTTCTGCGCTTGTCTGGCTTCAGATGGAAAGGGAACAAAGTGAATTTTGAAATCTGAGGGCTTCTCAGTACACTGAGCTGACATCCAACTTGGCAATCAAAAAGACAGGGAAAGAAACAGAAACACTGTATGAGCATGAATTTCCTAGGATCAAATAATAATAAACTCTGAACATGAACATGGTTCCTATTCTAAGTTAAATTACATTTTACAGTTTCATTTTACTAACATTTTCACCATTTCACCACGTGTGTACTTTGTTAATAATTGTCCTTTTATAAAAAATATTCTAAGTGAATTAAGAGATAAAATACACAAGCAGCATAAAACATTTGACTTACATATTGGACACAGAATTTTCTGACGGTGTAGTCCACCAGTACAGTGATGTCCTCCAGTGCCACTCGGACATTTCCATACATCCAGCAACCTTTTTCTGGCCAGTACTGATAACATTTTTCCTGTTTAAGAAATTACAGCAATAATGAGGTTATTTTCCATGCCTTTGCAAATTCTAATTGGCACCACTGCAGATATACAATTGCTTGTGTTTGTGTGTGTGGGATTGCATCTGTTCTGTTCGTGTGTGTGTATAGATAGTTTCATATTTTACATGTGATCTCACAATCCAATTCAAAGGCAATCACAGCAACTTTCTGTGACTCTGACAGTCAATAAGGTCTTCACAGTGACGTTTCAACCCATTAACTAGATTGTCTAATTATCATGAAGCCTCTTAGGATCTTATCAACAATTATTTCATCATTGATCGCTGTTGAGCACTCAATTATCCCTCTGAGGCGGAATTCAATGCAATGCTAAGTAATCTGCTAGTTTGCACTTTGCATGGATTCTCAGTTTGGAAGGGGGTCAAATAAATTATGCACATGACATTGGGTCATGAGAATGCAAAAGGGTTTTTACACATCGTAGCCATGAAGATTCGGGAGGTTTACTCTGTAGCATTAGAAGAATGCAGTGCAAGTGGAAACTACCTCCTTCCTTTCTTTCAGATTGGTCAGCATTACTATAGTTGCAGTTTTCTGCTCCCATATCATCTGCCAGAAGTCGGTCACAGTCTCAGGCTTTGGTCCTGTAACAGAATCAAGAAAAATATCTGAAAAACTGTGGAGCTCAATTTTCCATGTGTAAAAATGGTTATCAGTGCTTTTACCTTGAGCTGCGATGAATTTGTTCTTTTCTTTAAACCCCTGTTTTAAGACAAATACAGGACACGTGAATGTTTAACGGCAAAAAACAAACAAAAAAAGCATCCGTTTTAAAAGCAAAGCTGTGGTCACACTCACATCTATATAAGACGCATTTATATAGTCTGAGCACAAATATCCATCAAGATGACTCAACACCACCCTCGAATGATCATCTGGAACAAAGACGAAAAAATATATAAATGTAAAGTTGCTTTTCTTTTTCATTTCAGGCCTCGCAGCTTTCCTAACGATTTACTTATTAATAAACCTAAATCACAATACATGGCAGATCCTCACTCACATGGCAAAATGTTTGGGTATCTGTTTTTCTCCCTGTTATGCTCTCTGTTGGCCTCCTCAAAGGACCCATGGTGGTAGTAACAAGGCAGTGACTATAAAGAAAGAATCCAATCTCATGAGATAAAAATAAAGCCGCAGGTACAAAGCCCACAAACATAACATTTTATTGCTGTTTTCTACACTTGTACTTTCTGGACAAACATTTTCATCACGGCAGATATACTCGTGCTCACATTGAACTCTTCTCTGAAGAGCTTGCCGTCATCGGCAGAGCGAATTCTGTACTCCTCCTCCAGCGAGTCCAGTGGGATGGGGAAGTACCTCTTGGATGGCGAGGGAGATCTGGGGAGCAGGACCACTGTCTGCTCTCCTGTGTTTAAGGGAATATATGGTGGTCAGGATGCTAATGTCTCCCAAGAGAGAACATTACAAGTTTGCACAGCAGCTGCAAAAACAGGCCTGATGACAATTTGGATTTCCTACCTCTGCGGATATGTGACACCGATGATTTCTTGACACATAAACTTCCATCTCCCAGCACAAAACTACCTCAGCTCAGAATTTGGCCTTCATTTATTTTTCACTGGAAAAAGGTTTACGAGGCTCCACATGTGCTATGAAACCTACCAGGCTTCCTCAAACTTTCCAGCTGGACTTTAGATCACGACCCTTGTTCATAAAGAGTTTAAATTTACGGGGCTGCTTTATAATTTTATGCTCTGGTGATAATTCTGAGTATAGTGCAAGAGTACCTTGTTCCTCCAAGAAGCCATTTGGAATCTTTTTATCCACGGATGTAACCAGGGCTTTCCTGTGGTTTTTGAACCTACAGTAAAGACAGAAGCAAAAAGAGCAAAACCATTCATTATAAAAAGCCTACGGTAAATTAGCAGATCTTTAAAAACAAAACATAGATGTTAGAGGAATGTAGTTCAATCAGAAAAACAATATCGACCATCTCAGCGACGTGAAGCTGTTCCTTCTCATTCCCTCGTCAGAAAGTGTTGCTGTTAGATGGTCGGTCAGGGAGTGTGTGTCAGTGGCCTGATCTTACTGAGTCTTACTTGCCGTGCAGCTGTTTACTCATAAACCACTGCTCACCGCCTGTTTAAACACCACCCCCATTGTAATACCATCACACATTACTTTGGTGCCCAAACGCAGGCTAAAGGGAGACAAATAGTGACAAGGACTTGGTTTACATTCAGGTATATTTACCTCAGGCAGTAGATCGTCAATAGGACAACGATGATTAGAAGGAGGGACAAGACTAGGGTTGAAGGAAGGACATGAGCTCCCTGGTGAGTAGGGTTTTCTACATAAAAACACAGCAAAGCAGGTCAGTTTAGACAGAAATAGAAACCAAAGACGTAAATGCAATCACCTCATCTTTGAAGAAGCTGGGATTCTGTGTGAATATTAACAATGTTATTGATACTATAGTCTTTTAGCAAACCAGAGTAAAGGTTTAATCTACAAAATAAGATCAAAGTGCAAAGAGTTTTCAACAATGTTGTGCTGTAATCAACCATTCAAAGAATAAAAAAATATTAATATTGTCTACAACAGCATGATTTGCTCCAAATTTACTATAAATATTCATAATATATCCTGAAAATAATAATGTTTAATGATGAAAAACTAGGATATATAAAGTGAGGTTTACTTTTAGAATATTGATCTAAAATTTTCTGTTGTACTTTGAAGTTCCTGTCAATGCATACCATGAACAATAAAGCAGAAGAGTCAACCTACAATGTGTTTCCATCTGTTCAAAGCTGCATAAATTCACATTTTGTAATATGAACTCCCAGTAGTTTCAGCAGTTACCTGCAGTTTGGTTCTCATGGGATGAGTTATTCACGGCAACAGAGATTCCCATCAGAAACAACACCATTGTCACTGTGGATTGAAAAAAAAGAAACAAAAGACACATGAAAAGCAAAAACTCTTAAGCATGTAATGCTGTATAAGGTCCACAAGACGGCGCCAAACCAATAGGCAATCCCTCTGTAAAGTAGTACACAAAGGGCAGAGATGGGAGCTCTGCTTTGATGTTGCTCGAGAGTGATGTCTGTGAGACTCTCTGCAGAGCAGTTAAAGTCCTTATGGGAAATCTGCTTGCAGCCCTGTCCTGTCAGGCTGACATGAAAGAACAGCATCAAATAACCTAAAATTCAGACATCAAACCAGAAAAGAGGCTTTAACCCACAGGTGACAGTAACTGTATCCCCCGTGCACTATGGAGTTGAGCTCAAGTAGTATTTGTGAGAAGCTGTCTCATTTTGCGGTGTTGTCTTTGATGTGCAGCCTGCCAAAAACAGACTGTAAGGTTACCAAAAGCTGATGTAGTGGGCACTTTTCAATACACAACAACATTTCTCCACTGGCCTTTTTTCAGGAGAAGTGTGATGCTGATGAACAGAAAAATAAATGCTGTGCAAAAGATAAATAATTGATTTTAAAAAAAGTTTATATATGGTGACTTTTTGAAGGGGACCTGTTTTCTCTTTTACTGGTGCTGTCTTTATCTCAATTTATCTGTCTCTCCTTTTCCCTCCTAACACACTAAACCATATTTTTATCCCCATTATTTTTCTTATTTCATTCTTCTACTATATTGCCACAAGGTAGTGGGGATATATTTGGGGCAAAGACACACTGGTTTGTTTCACACAACTATGCCAAACTTAAATGGATTCTGACACATTATTCTTGTGTTTTTTTTTATCTCAAAGTGGAGCAGACCATTTTCCCAAACTCACATCTATTTCTTCTTTGTTTTTCCCCATCCTCTGAATAAGAGGCTAAGTAATCACAAAATAAATTGGGCAAATGGGGCAAATCAACCTAAATGGCTTTGATGAAGAAAATGTGAGTCACAAGAACTGAGCGTCCTAATTTATCCTCTGCTCTAAGTCCCCTTCTCTTTCTAGAGGCCAAAAGAATGGATGGAATAATTCATTGTGTCAATTTACCTCTACTCGAAATGGGTCATCTAGGGGCCTAATTTGGGATGTTTGAGAGGATTTCTTCCTCACAACCCTAAGGGGTTTCACATGAAGATAGCTTGCGAAGCGTTTGGAGAAAACTGAGCTACATAATAAAGCGCTAACAACGTTAAGACAAAATGTATGTCAAAACTTGTAAAGCATTATTGGATGACAAATTAGGGGCTTGGATTTTAAAAGAAATGATTCAGTCTGTAGTAAAACACTATGGCTGACACTCATGCAGACAGTCATGTGCACACATAAGGGGGAAATCAGCCAAATGACTGATTCATTGCTGTGTGCATGTATGCAGCGTGTGCACAGCTCATCAGATGCCACATGTACACATGCTCCACATACAGTATGTCCCTCAGCCAAAGGCTATGTGTTGCATATGTGCTGCACTCTGCTGGAGGAGTCAATTCGCTCCCCAGTGTTAACAAGCTGACAGAGCCAGCACCTGTTCCCCGCTCACCCCCACAGAGCCAGTCATTTCCACTCGCGCACCCCCCCATCCCACTGTACAACCCAATGCTGCGGGGCATGCTGAGCGCACGGGTCACGGCACAGGCCAGAGCATATCTGTCATCTTCTGGCAACTAATGTACACACAGTTAGCAAGAAAATGAGTAAAGGGAAGTCAAGAACAAAAATATGGTAAATGCCCCGTCACGTCCAATGACTCAATTGAATGGGCAGTCATGTGTACTCTGTTGCTTCACCACGCGGTTGATGAGAAAGAGGAAGTGTTAAAAACTAAAAGATACGAAAATCTATAAGTGTCAGTCCGTCAGTGTTTGTACCAGATGAGGAAGTAACATGAGACATTTAGTTTCACTGAGGACACTGTACATTATCCATGTAACATTATCCCATATAATCACACAAAAGTGTATTGTATTTTCTGAAAATGATAAACATATCCTATTTAATTAGATATCAACAAAACTAACTGGCAGCTGCATATGTTGTCACAGATCAACAGGGCTTGAAAATTCACATTTTGTGAATAAATGGCCTGTCTTGTACACAGATAAAAGGATTTCTTGTTGATTTCCGTGAAAACGGAGGAACAAAGGCATTGTCAGAAAAAAGAATATAGCAGAAAAACACAGACACCAGTTGCACTTGCAAGTACCACGGAAAATAACGGAAGGAGAGCACAAATACATGTCAGTGAAGTTTGGCAGCAGAATGGTGTGGGGAAAGATGAGACAAGAGATGACAACAGAAGGGATAGAGGAGGAGCTGCAGGAGATCAATGCCTAGATCCTCAGTTCAGAGATAACAACCCTAATGGAAGACATCCTTGCTACACAATGGTTCTGAAAAAAAACAACACTTTACTATCTGGGCTGTCCTTATCCTCAGATGCATCTTTTTGTATTTCACAAATGGGTGAGGTTTGCCTTTCAGAAATACATTTGTTTGAGAAAAACATAATATTACAACTTCTCTTATCAAAAAGGCTTTGAACAAAGGCAGCAATGTTTTCTTATCTACACTCTTTAACCATGTTGAGATTACACTGAAATTCAATTAGTCATATCAAGAAAGGAAACATTGTCGTTATTTTCCCGTTTTCAGTTAATAGACTCAGCCTTAATTGAAAAAGTAAATTAAGTTGTTACAAAGGACTTACACTTTCAAACCAAGCCACTGGGATGTGCCACCATTTGTCCCATCAGTCCATATCCACAATGAGATCCAAGCTCTTGTCTTGCCTGTATTTATCTGGGTTTCCTACCCTCTGACCTACCCTGTTTACATCCCCTGGGACATCAAGAGTAAAGCTGTACGAAGAGGTGAATCAGGTCCGATTGTCAAAGAAGATCATAGAGGCCTGGGAGATAAGTAAAACAATGTATTAAAAATGTATAAACCAAACACAGAAGCGTACCCATGATCCTGATAAGCAACATCACAGAGTTTACTTGCAGCTAATTATTTGAGGCAGATGGGAAGAAAAAAAAAAACATTGTGATCTTTTTCATCTGTCAGTTTGTTTATGCATGTGTGCAATGAGTCAGAGTGACTGTGCACGGTAACAGTCAGCTGGGTGAGTGGGTGAGCTTGTTTTCTGCATGGCCAATATCTGTTTTCAGCCTCCTCAGCACCGACCGCTACTGAAAAACTGCACGATCCAGTGTTGCAGAAAGAAATAATTAATAGGCTGTTTGTCTCAATAATAAGAGCCGTGTTTATTACGGCATTGTCTAATTAAATCATGAATACATGCTGTCCTTTAATGGGCCGACACAATAAAAACACCACTGCACGATGAGCGCGCTGAGACTAATTGTTCTCTGTTTGGGACTGAAATAGTGTTGTTTTGGAGGGAAACAAAATAGTCCCGTTCTCCTTTTCACCACCTACAGGCATGAAGCACAAAGAAATGCTGTGACCGCTTGTTGACTGTGACGAGGTTCAGTGGTCATCAGACCCAGTTGAGTGATCCAACAGCCTGAACTGCTGAAAAATCAATATACAAGGTATGGAAAAAAGGCCCTTTTTGCCACAATCCTGAGTTGTGGTATACCTTTTCCACATGTTCCATAACTACTGGCAGAGTAAAACTGTATTTCCATCAAAAGCATTCACTTTAACACAAGAGCTGGAAAACAGCTCAGATGACTCTGTGAATATGTTTTAAAGTTCTAACACTGGACCTTTAAACTTGAAACTGAAGGCACATGTAACAGTTTTTTGGTTGTTTTTTTTTGTGATTCACAAATAAATGAAACAGCCAGTTTGGGATAATACCAAGACTTCACAAATTTGGAACTTATAAGATTCAGCTTATTTTCTCCTCTTCTTTTAGTTTTTTGCAGGAAAAACTGGTTTCAAACTAATCTACTACAGCCGACTCAGTGAAGCAACAATAGCTATGATGAATATTCTATTTACCGTCAGAACATTTTTTAAACAGGCACCAAAAAAGCCCATAGCATTGGTCTAATAAAAAGTCAATAATCCCTAAACTGTTGCAGTCTTTCACTATAAACAAACCCCCAAAATGAATCAGTGCATTTCAGTGGATGGATTGACTGACTGCCGCTCACATATCAGAAGAGCTTTTTTAAAGTTTCAGTGGCATATGTAAGTTTAGATGTGATCAGAATTCCGTATGATGTGGCTAAAGTATAACATCGGCAGATAAATTGTTACTTTACTGGAGAGGAATATGTCCCTTGTTGGTTAAAAATGTCACACGAACACTAAATGGAACTTAAAAATAGCTCCCCAGGATACAGTAAACACTTCTGCTAAACACAAATCCGTCTTTTTATGTGAAAACTAACAACTATTGAGGTATTATAGATGGAAGTGTGCACTGCCAGCTAGGTGTTTCATTTCTCCTACATTTCACTTACAGAAGATGTAACGTGCACAAAAAAGCCATAAAACACATCTGTTAAACAATATATAAGCCTATAAATAAATAAAGCCAAAGACGAGCCATCTTGCCTCTTAAACCACAGCATGAGGTAATGGGAAAAAGTGAGCTAATTGCATTTTTTATGATTTAAGTCATTCATTTAGCTGTTTTTCACATGCCTGAAAAGAACTTCATGAGATTCTCATCTTATGCTTTTCACACAGGTTTTTTTTTGTGTTTAGCTCTACACAAAACCCCACACCTCTTTGAAAATGAGCCAAAAGAGAACCGATGCCTACTCATAGCATTCAATCATTACAGGGACAACCACTTCCTGTCTGAGCCACTCTGCCCATTGACTAACATGGGAAAAGTGGAGCTTATTAAAATTTCATGTGAGTGCAGTCATCACAATCACTCTGGGGTTCAATCATCAATTCAACCAAACCTGCTACGCAAAAAAAAAGGAATGTGTAAATCTGATATGATAATAATATTCTTGTTCAGCAAATCTAGGATGTAAATACTCCTTTTTATTCTATTAGTCCTTTTAATCATTCCAAATACATTTCACATGATCAAAATATTAGTTATTCCTACTCAAATCTAATGGGTGCTTTCCCTGCTGCTAGTCTAATGCAAAAAATCCACTGCTGAGGTCACTTAGCTGATAATGCTTTATATAAAAGGGAAGTGTAGCATGAAGTGCGGAAATGCTGCCTGTTTTTTACAACATGAAGCAAAGGAATTTCAGAAACAAGCTTAATTTGCTTTCAGAAGAAAATAAATATGAATATATAAGACTTGTGTAAAATATAAGTATACAATATACAATTTCCCACCCATTTTTTTAACCTTAGTTGAATGGTCCACTAAGTGAGCAGCCTTTGCCATGGGGAATAGATGAGAAATATTATTTTTATACATTGCAGACTGAGCATAGTAATCTCTGGCCTCCAGTTTGATGACTCCAGATGAGACACTTCTGGGACATTAAATAGGTGAAACCAGGGACACGAGGTGATAATCATTGCAATTACAGCTTCAGCGCTCATTCTGCTGAGGCTCAGCAAACACATCATCTTCTTTGCTTGAGCCCATGATCACTTGCATTAAGTGTGAAGTCTGAAACAAGCCACTGAAATTCACATAAGCATGCTTGAGAAACATGGCGTTAGATGCAATATTTCAAACGCTAGCCTCATTTCTTACCCAACAAACTACTGTTCCATGCAAAATGATTTGGCTTTCTTGATAGCTGCTATCAAAAAAAGAGCTGCGAGTGTTAAGGTGCAGAAATCTCTCGTGAAAATGAACACTTGATTTATCCCAGCAACCATAAAAAATAAGCATTTCCACATCTTACATAGTAATACGTTACAAACATGTAATTAAAGGTGAGAAGCAGCTAAGCTTAAAATCAACTGTGCATGAATCTGGGATGTGATAAACTGGAATTATTCAAGAATCAAATTAAAGTAAGAGAAAACAATGCAATATTCACAATGTGAAAGTGCTGCCCACTGTAGTGTTTCAGGAGGTTACAAGGCCTCATCTGTTTATTCAAACACACACTGCTAAAAAATAGCACACATGAAGCCTTTGCACATAATCCTCATCATCCTCTTATATCAGTCAAAATGCAGACAGCAGACAGACAAAGAAGTCAGACCACTCAGATTGGAGAGTCACCCAAATACAGAGCGAAAGGGGTAATTTTAAAATAACTTGCACAAACTTAAATGGTCTTATGCAATGGGTCTTACGTCATTAAAGGCAATGCTGTGAAGGGATCGTTGTAGGGTCATTATACCCATTGAAGCAATGAGATGAAAAAGAGAAGCTCAACTCCTCGCCAAAAGAGGATAGCTTACGCAACTGTGGAGTCAATAGTATAAAAATAGTCAGCCTAAAATGCACAATCAATTTACCCCAAATGTGTATGCATGCAGCTGCAACACTGTCAGAGGTAAGGTACATCAATATCAGATCCACAGCAGTGAGCCCTAATGCATGTCAGTCTGCTAATGGATTACAATGTCCGATATTGAATAACCTGATTCTCTGGCAATATGACAATGCTTTACTGTGTTTGCAACTTTACCAACGCTCAATGAACTGTGTTGCATCCACAATGGTCAGACAGCTGGGATGTGCACACATTAATTAAAGTTTGTATAAAGGTATTCAACTTATTCTGTGTCTTTTTTTTTAAATAGTGCACATTTTGAGTATGTAAAAGGTTAAAAAACTCAGATTTCTATAACAAAACTATTATTTCTCACAGAGGACACTGCAATGACCTATGCGAATGGTTAAGATTATTTTATTTGGTGGGTACATCAGTATTGTTATACATTATTCCGGCCAGCAGCAGCCAGCAAGTGGAAATCTCATTTGTGGTAGAATACGATCAGCCCAGCAAAACACTGAATAGTTTCACGTCCATCTTTGAAAGGATCATCTGTTTTGAATCCGGATAATTCCTTAAGCACTTGGATGTAACTCTAAGCAAGCATTATCAGAGAAATGGATGATGTTGATGCACATCTGTCCATCACGGGCTGTATTGGTGCTCTGCAATTGCAGAGGTTAGCCCTCTAAAATGCACATGTTCTTAAGAATGCACACATTTGTACAGAAACTAATCATTGCGTGAGGTAACTATAGTTTCTGAATCCCCAGGATGATAAAGATGTGGGTTAACTGGCCCAGTGTGCTGAGGAAACTCCAAAATTAGCATCAGCTTTTACTAGGTCATTTTTATTATTAATGATAAACCACCTTAAGTTCTTGTTTACAGGGTTATATGGAATCAGGTTAATTTACAATTCAAGTTCAACAATGTGGCATTTTAACATCTTAACACATGTAACAACTAAGGAAAGGAACAGTATTTTAATACATTGCCTATGCAACTTTTGAGACCCATCAATAGTCAAATTATGGGGGGAAAAATTAAAGCAACATGTCTTGAAGGGTTTTTTTTCTCTTGACATCAAAACAAATCAGAGAATATATTCAAATCTTTACAAAAAACATGAACTAAACAGTTAACAGCCCATAGTGAGTAAGCATCACTACAGATGAGCTCACAGGCCTACTACTATAGCCTGTGTAGTCGTCTCCATTTGCTGATGAAACGCCATTGAAATCTGAAAATACAAGACATGCAAGAAAATAACACCGGGATGTCAAATCACATTAGAATATTTCTTTTCAAATGCTCGCGCACAGCATTTTGATATGGCCGCAGGACGCGTGGACCTGCTCCACTAACCCACATTTACCATAGTAACCTACATGCTGACCATGCTCAGGAATGACAGCTTGTGACCGTCTCCCCCCGAAACTGCCTCCTCCTCTCATAGAAAATAAACACATTTAATGCAAACAAAAGGCGTAAAGCTTGATGCGTCCGAGCTTCTCTGCGCGCCGGGGAGGGGTTTTTTGCAAAATCGAAGCTGAGGACTGTGGACGAGGATGGCTCGTATTTGCGTGGAAATGCGCCAGGGAAAAACGAGCCCTGCTCGATTCCGGCGCGGTGTTTTTCTGCATCTTACCGTAGCACGGAGACTACCTCCTATCTGGTGATGTCGGCTTGTGCATTCCCCACACGGACCCGGCGCCCGTCTCCTCTCTTATCTCCTTCCCGAGGAGAACGCATATGGAACTGTCCGAACGTCTGACCGGAGCTCAGGGATGTGTGGAGGTTCCCCTGGTGATCATATTTCCTGCAAATCTCAGAGGATCCCCCCCCCCCACCACCACCACCACCTCCAGCCTTGCCTGTGCGCCTGCCAGAGCTCGGCCGTGTTATGGCGCATGGAGTGGAGACGGGAGAGACCCTCCCCCGGGCTCAGAGTGGTATCAGGTGGACACTCAGCATCCCTACACATTCCTGCATCACTGCACGAGAAAAAGCTCGGCCGTTCTGTTAGGAAGGGCTGTTCTCATTTTTGTCCCCATGATGTCTTTTACCACTGAAATTGTCACATGTTTGCAATAAATAAATAAATAAATAAATAAATAAATAAATAAATAAATAAATAAATAAATAAATAAATAAATAAATAAAATAAGCTGATACATTTCTGTAGTATTGCTCATACGGATCCTGTTTGACTTTAAGACACTTGCCTGTTATGTGATAAAGTACAAGTTGTGCAAATTGGATTGAACTTATTGTCGCATTTGCTTATTTCACCTTTTCTAAACTACTCTTTTATCATCTGTCACTCAGTGGAAAGAATCCCAGTTTGGGCAAAGAGTTTAGTTTCAATTTGTAGAGGTTAAATGTAAACTGAGCCCCCTGCTGGTATTGATGAACCTGTGTTTTATGGACATATGTAATTGATCTATCTATCATTTTTCAAAGTACAAACACATTTGCTACATTTTCATCTCCCAGCTTGCTTCGGTGTGTGTTCATTCTGGAGCTGCTCAGATTATGCCCGCCATGACATTTAGCCAACCTTAACTGCATCACTGCAAGTGATATTTTTCATGTGACTCACCCGAGAAAACTCTTTGATCATTTTGGTTAAAGGACATGTTTGGAAAAGCTTCTCTGTTTGCAGTGTTTGGTCATCAGGGGCAATCTGTAGAGGGTGGTGAGTAACATAGGAAGTGTGTAGCGAAATTTGTAGCGTACGGAGAATAATTCTGTGCAGTTAAATGGCATGAAGAAAAGGTTTAGTTTAAAAATAATTGTGGTTGAAATCGTCAGATTTGCTGACCTCTTGTGGGAGCTACAGAAATGTGGGGGGTTCTAAACTAGTCTGCTATTCATTGTTTGTTCATCTTTGCAGTTGTATTGATGTATAACTGAAAACTGGAGCTTCATGTTGTGAACTGAGTTGTTGGGGACTATTAAGCTCTTGTCTGCACTTAAACCACAGAGCCAGCCGGCATGTCAAACAATTCCACTGGAAGTGCTGCAGTCCTGTGTGGTCGGCTGACTCACAGCTTAAGTTAACTGCAAGCTTTAGCAGCCACAGGTCACAAAGAGGACGGCGCATCTTCAAATGGTAAGATTTGTATGCAATCCAGATCCTCCTTCACATGTGTCCTTGGGAAAGATAATGAAGTCCCACAAGAGCAATACGCTTGTTATTGTGTAGCTGCTGGAAATGAAGTACTTGAGAATGTGAATAGACAACAAAACCACTGTTTGCATGAGCGGGTGAATGAGAAGGATATTATAATGAATATTATACAACTCCCATTTAAGAACTCTAAACCACTAACATATAAAAAAAATGATTCCTTTTATGTTCTGACAAGCATTGTCATTTTTTTAAAGAAGCAAGACTTTAGACTGCAAACAAACTTTATCAACCAAAATATCAGGATTTGTCATAACAGCACATGGAATTGATTTATCTTCGGTTGAAAAGCTGTTTGACTGATTTACAAATAATTATTGCTGCAGATGGTATGGGAGGCCTTCAACATATAATTCTGACTCAGTGATGATACCACCATTGAGTCAGAATCAGAAAATGTTTTTGTTTAAATCTCTTTTTACATTAATCTAAATCTGAAGGTGACAAATATAATCAAAACAGATTGAGTTCTACTTCTGCACTAGTGTCTTAGATTCCTTATGTCTCAAATATGAATAAAAAGGTCCCTTCTAGCTAATTATTTTCCTTTTTTTCAGTTTACACATTATTGTTCCGTGTGAATCACCATCTGAATACCTTGAACTTGATCACTGCATCTGTATTATTCACTCCTGTGGTCAGTATTTCTCTGTAAGAGCTACATTAATCTTTTGCAAGAAGTAGGACGTACAGTACATCAGCTGGTGGCAGTGTTGCTCTACAAATGCAGCATTAACATTTACCAGTGCTCTGCACACATTAGTGATTCAGAAAGAGTCATACGTGCTTGCGACAATGACCTAATCACTAATTGTCTCCTTTATTTAATAGCTATTTTAGTGTAACTTCATATCAATATCAAAAGAAATCCAATTATTTGGTTGTAATAATCCAAACTGCATCTCTGTGAATAATGTGGGTTGTGTTCATCTTACATTAGCTGTGAAATAAAAGAAGCAGCCTAGATCAAATTAAGTGATGTATACTGTAATATCTGGAATTTTTTTTGTTTTTTGTTTGCTCGCTTTTTACTGGTAATATTGCATAGTTCCAAAGTGAAATAGGTTTTTGCCTTTCAGTGAAGGTCATTTTATGGGTGAAGCAATATGTGGGAGGTACATTAAGTTCCTCAAGGCTCTGGAGACCTTTGTGAAAGAAGATGTTTTGCCACCTGAAATTTCAAATGCTCATCTACCCTGAAACACAACCCAAAGTGACCTTCAACACTTCACTTATGTCCATCTGAAAGAATGAATCCTTCATTTTATGTGTTTGCTCTCATACCACAGTGTGCATATTATTTTATAATGTTTAAAACATGACAGAGAACCACCTGCAAGTTACAAAAAACGTACGTTATGCGTCTTAAGCTACAGGATTGCACTCAAAAGCATCAAACGCATGGCATTAGTGGGTATATTGCTTGGAAATAGGTCAGGATGACAAGTTGTTCACAACTCACCGCTGGCAGTGGTGGAATTTTTTTCCCTCTGTCCTGCCTGTTGGCTGCTGTGCCAGCGCAGGGAAAGGTGCTGCCGTGAGCTTTATGACAAAACGCTTCACCCCCCATTAACCTTCACGGAGTGGGCATCAGGAGGGGCTTTCAGGTAGAATAAAGCTGCAGTGTCAATAGGCAGGTGTGTCAGTGAAAGTGTGTCAGAGAAGATGACAAGCTAACGCCGGGCACCCTCTGTCCTTCAGCCCTCTCTTTCTTTGGGGGCTATTCTTTAGCTGGGCTCTGACAGCAACAACTGATAAGAACATGATTAAGTATCGCGAACTGAAGCTCGATCCAGTTCACGTTCCCCAGCTGCCCTGCAGACTTTCAAAAAAAGCTGCATTTAAAGCTTTTTTTTCTCTCTGAAAATGGGAGCTCTTACTTCTTTCTGATCACTCTTTAAATAAGCTCAGTGTGACTGTAAAGCTGCCTGACTCATAGCCTGAAATCCATTTACAGTGCATTGTGCTTCTGAATGTGCGCGTGATATGAATTCCAGACATGTAGGAGTGTGAATCCTGGCTCGGGATCAAAGAACTCACCACTGTATCTGATATGGATCAGTCTTGGCTGGCATGCTGTAAAACACAAACAGACACACGTGCTATATGTACAAAGGGAGATTTAGTCCACAGGGATCGGCGGCCAACTGTGACAATCTTCTTATGAAGCATCTGAGGGCCCATGGAAATGGAAATGGCAGCAGCTGATCTGTCGATGGGGACCAATCTGCTTCCTCATCAGTGCTCTTCATTAAACTTAAGTACTGTCTATTAGGCCCAGTAATTCTCCTCACCTAGTCCCACACATGACCTTGAGGAGGAACAGTGCGCATCACTTTAAAAGCTCACAAGTTTCCACCGAAGTATGGCGAATATCGGATCTCCCGGGGGAATAAGTTGCTCGGAAAAAGTACCTGAAGCATTGTCTCAACACACAATCCCTCGCAGAGCAATCTGTCACATTACAACCAATCATAACCAGTAATTTAACTTAACCTCATGATGCCTCGCGCACAGTGTGAGTTTTCTCACTGTCTACAGATTGTGATCATCCCTTCCTTGCTATCGTAGCTGCTTAATTGAGCTGGATGTGCGTCAGTGATTTCACTTAGAGGGGGATCATCAAGATTCAGACAAGCACCTGGTCTTTTATGTGCCTGTAGAAGGCTGGCAGGAAAAACAATTACCGGCCTCATTTGTTCTCTATAGACAGTTGTGACCTTTCCAATTGGCACATCCCCTTACAATATGACAGCTTTTCTTTCCAGAAACCTGGAGTGATCCTACATTTAATATGCACATAAATTGCATTTTCACCTGTTGGAGAGCCAAGGACTGGAACATACTGTACATTGTATGATGTATCTGTCCCTTTCAGCTCTGTCCTCTCACATCTGACAAAGGATTTCCTTCTTGTAGATGATTTCACTTTGCCTCTGGATGTGCTGAGAAGTGAATTAATGCAATGTAAGCAGTTGAAAATACCTGATTTTTTGCAAGCTTGATCCATATATATTCCACTGGATTCATATATATATATATACATGAGAATGTTGAAGAAATATAGAGAAAAAGAGTCAAAGTGTCTAAACCAAGCCCTTTCTCAGGGTAAACTGTCATCAGCTTATTGCCAACTTAGGTGGACTAAATACCCATCTCCAGAGGCTACAAAGCACAAATGAGCTGATGCAGCTACGTGTGAAAGCTCAGTTGTTTGGTGATGAAAATGCATAAATGTCCAATATTAATGAATCACGTCTTGAATTCCTCCTCCAGCATATTTGAATCAATATCTGTGTGAAGAAATATCTGTCAATAATTCCAATTATGGTAATTACTAACCAACCAAACCTTTTCCATGAAACGTCCTACCTTTTATTACTGAAGAAGAGATCTTTGCCTTGGCTTCCAAGGGATTAGAATTTTTTTTTAAAAATTTTAAAACGTCCTGCAGCAGAGCAACATTTGTTGGGAAATTATCAAAACTATACCACTGCCATCATGACCCAGAGTGAAATTAAAGCAGATCTGTTAAAGATAAATTGCATCAAATTTTACATCAGGTTTCTTAAAACACTTTCAAGTCTGTACAGTGGAGAAAGAAAACACATCTTCTAGATTTATTCATGGACTTAAATACTACTTGCATCCTTGGGCAGAGAAAACAACAGAACCTCAAAGTTCATTGTATAAACATGAAAAATTAACAAATTAGTTGACAGACCAGTGTAATGAAAGTGCAGGTTTTACAGCTTAAAGTAGTTTACTTTTATAGAGATTTGATGGTATGA